CGTACGTACGTACGTACGTACGTACGTACGTACGTACGTACGTACGTACGTACGTACGTACGTACGTACGTACGTACGTACGTACGTACGTACGTACTACTCTCTCTCTCTCTCTCTCTCTCTCTCTCTCTTCTCTCTCTCTCTCTCTCTCTCTCTCTCTCTCTCTCTCTCACACACACACACACACACACACACACAGGTTCTTGGATGGAAGAGATGGCGTGTATATTAATGGCCCAAGTCGTACTAAAATTAATCCATTTGTATTCATTAGAACATAAGGTGTCATTCGTTAAATTTTGAAGGATCTTTGATACTATAGTAGATTTTAAAGAAGCTCCTAATATTTTAAATTGATATTTTAAATAAGCTCTTGATACCTTGGTTGAATCTGAAATTTGTTCCAAAAATAAGAGATGAGGCATACCAATTTTAAAGGAGGGTTAGGCATTAGATAACCTTTTAATCTAATAAAGAAAAGAAGAGGATAAGCATGCCCCTTTCTTAACACTATAAAGATGACATTCCAACTTTTGGAGAGAAAAATATTCAAGATAAAATATCACAGAAACAAACTTACTTTACTTTATATTGATAACTAGAACATAATAAAATAAGTGGTCTATAACAATGCTAGTGCTGGTGCATATATGAAGTTGTAATACCTTTTAATGCCCTAAATTCCTTGTACTTTCAGCTTCCGTTGGATCCATTGATATCCATAGGCCCAGGGTACTCCTAAGGCCCTAGATTCCACAACATAAGAAGTTGTTTGCTAAGGAAGAATGTGCTAAGAGGTCAAGGGCTATACAAACACATACAGAGAGATATGGACCAGCCTTAGATGCTCAAACATGGCTAATGGGTGGACTGATATAGATTGACAATTGATCAACTTTTTGGTGTTTTGTCACAAGGGTACTGTATTATTAAAGTCAGACGATGCCTCAAATATTGTGAAGACATCGGAGGCATTGTTTCATTTATTCATGTAAGCTATTGATGATGTGGGGCCACGAAATGTGGTCTAACTTAATATAAATGATACAGCTAGCTACTCACTTGGGCAGTTGCTGCGAGATCATTATGCCACCATATTTTTGGACTCTGTGTGCTGCTCATTGAAGAGATTTAATGCTAAAGGACATCAGGAAGATCTAGGACTTGACAGGAGTTGCAGATAAGACAAAGTACTGCAAATTTATCAACAATCATT